GCACGACCCTTCTCATTATGTGTATAAGTAGAAGTGTATAGCATCATTTTAATTTCTTTTTCTTGTAGGGTTTTGTTGCCACTGTAGAACCTGAAATCCTTTTCAATCTACTCAACAGTCGAAGAGGTGTTTTTGGCTATACCCCCTCTTCATGAAGCTGTCTCTGGCAACAGATTCAAAGTCATTCCATATCTCATTGAACAGGGTGCTAACGTTAATGCCAGGGCTAATTCCGGTTACACCCCGCTTCACCTTGCAGCCATTGTTGGTCACATTGAGTGTGTCAGAGTATTACTAGATTGTTCTGCTGATGTCAGTCTTACAGATGACTATGGTAAAACTCCAAGACAGACAGCTAGCCAGGGAAAAAGTTCAAATATAGTTCGACTTTTAAGGAGCAAAGGTCAGTTTAAGAGACTAATCCAATTTATAAGTAATTTGCACCTTTATCAATAAGTGCCTAAATGTACACATGTTTCCTGTAATCAGCCCTGCTAACATGTGTTTGTTCTGTATTAGGATTAGTAGAAAAATGAGGACATTTTTCTTAATGCTCGAAATTCTTCTACATACTTTAATTTTGCTATGTCCCAAGACATTAAGCCTCCCTCATGTTAGTTATATTCCCATACATTGTTTTGCTTTTAGTGATGCAGGCCCAATCTTATTACCTGAGGCAGTAAAGTGATCCCTTTGTTTGTGTATATGTGTGTGTGTGGTGTGCGTGTCCACTTGATTTCCTTGTATGAGCCGGCACTACTTTCTTGTAGAGCTCTTGGGAGTTTTATAATCCTGATTCCTCTCAAAAAAAGTTATTCTCTGTCTTGATTCATCTTTTCCGAGGCAAGAAGAGCTTAAAATGTCATGCACATGTTAAATGTTCTAATACATCACGCATCTTGTACATTGTGTTGTATATGTAAACATCGCAGATGTTTAATGTTTCAATGCATATAGTTCTACTATAGTTTATTTCATTTTAGTTCTAGTTGTAGTTTCAAAAAGCCACACTTTAATTCTCACTATTTTAGTTCTAGTTCCAGTTTTTGAAAAGCTAATATATAGTTCTAGATATGTAAAGACCCATTACTTAAATATATAGTTCTAGTTTTTAGAAATGGAACTAATAAAAATGCTAATATCATGTGTTGTGACAGGAAATACACTGAAAATGCTGTACAAACACTGCATGAGTTGACCAAAGTTCAACCCTTGCATTATTGATGTGGTTTGTACAGTACTTCCGGTTGCAAGGCTGTGCTAGGCTTAATATGAAGCTTTTTTTTCATTATAATGTAAAAAAATTGCTCGAATCATCTTCGTTTCTTTAGATATGATAGTCCAAACATGCTTATTCAAGTCAGTTCTCTTCTCTAGAATGAGCAGTTAGGGTTTTTAAGCATAAGGGGTGTAATAAAAGTTTGTATGCAACAAATGGAGCTTATTAATGTTTATAGGTGGACATGAGGCCGAGCGCACGTCGTTTATTGCAGCCACACCTTTACATTGCTGCAGTAGCAGTGCTTCTCAAAATTTTTAATAAGCCTCACTCTCAATTTTATGCATCTACTCTAACCATGTAGGTAAACTGTTACTTAAACAGATTGAGGCAAAGATATGCACTTTAGTGCTCTTGTTTATTAGTCAGTTATAAATATTTTCAGTTTGGGTTTAGATTATTTGTCCCTCCCTCTCCCCTATCTGTCTTTGCCCCAAAATCCTCAAATACATGTACATGGAATATGATCTTATCTTCTTATCTAAAATTTATTTTTAACTCATAGAGATTATTAAAGAAGTGAAGACAAATGGTGATAATCTCACTGCCTTGCTGAGAGTTAGAATAGATGATCTGGAGCCTCACTGCCTTGAGGATGCGCTCACAGCTGCTGTTGAGGTTGGGAACCATTTCAATGTTGGGAAACTTGTCGTCAAAGGTGCCACAAACATCCAACAAGCTTTGGAAGACTCTAAGCGACTGCAGAAACATGAGGCAAGGGCCATGCTCTTACTGGTCATTGCTGCACAGACAAATGACCGAGACTTGGTCCTTAAGCTGTTTGGTGTACCAGCACAAAAAAACACAACACATGTAAGTGAGGAAGAGAGAGAGTATGTTAGAAGCCAAATTGTTTGAGGTACCTAACAACTTAACTCATAGACCTTAGGCTATAATCAGATTAATTTTATAGTAATTTATTTCTATTTTTAGCCACTGGCCAATGACGATGATTTTTCTGAAATCCAGAAAGTCGTCATAAGTGGGCGTGTCTCAACTGTTGTTCCAATAGAGGTAGCACGACGCCATCAGAATCCAGTTGTACGAGAGGAGCTTCTCCTGAGGACTGATGTGAACCAGGAAGAGGGTTCTGTCTATTGGCACGGCCTTCGTCTACTTGTGCTTGATCTCTCTTGGATCCGCAGGATACACTGGGTAAAGAGACTGAGACTGGCTAGAAATGGATTTCAAGCCATCCCAAATGAAATTGGAGACTATTTGAAACAAGTAAGAGACAGACCTATGCATGTAAAGCATGTACTTGTAGTCTTGTACATCATCATGTAATGATGATGTGCTGTCTACAAAAATTGAAGTGCTACCAGCAATTGTAAAAGAGCAAGAATGCATTATGTACTCTAGGCAAGGGTGAAAGTGTATTTTAGATATAATAGGTAACAGCAACCTCCTGTATTTTCCTCTCTCTCTTCTGCAGGTGGTAAAACTAGACCTCCAGCGCAATGAATTGGTGACTGTCCCACGCTGTCTGTTTGAGTTACCCAGTCTTAACGAACTCAATCTGAGCAATAACAAACTAATTGAAATACCTTATGTACACGAGTGGTCCCCTGGTCTCACTGTTCTTGACCTCTCCTCTAATGAGCTCTCTAGTCTACCAGCTGATATTGTTGCTCCTTCCATTAGGACTCTCAACATTAGTTATAATCGTTTCCGTACTGTCCCTCTCTCTGTTTGTTCCTTTAAGAGTCTTCAGCACTTGAACATCAGTTTCAATAAAAATATACGCTCTCTGCCAGTGGAGATGGGTCGATTGCAGAATCTTATTAAGCTTGTTACTGATGGACTCAAGGACTTGAGTGATCCTCCTCGTAACATGCAGCGTGATGCCAGGGACTGTGTACGATACCTCAACAATAAACTACGCTCCGCTCGTAGGTTCTATCGAATGAAACTTGTGCTGCTAGGGAAACAGAACTGTGGTAAGACAACACTGGTCGCCCGTTTACAAGGACTTGATGTTGGTATCAACCAGTCAACTGTTGGGGTTGATGTGAGCAAGTGGCATTATGCTGGGGGACTGGGACGTAAGAAAATTAAGTACCAGTTCAGTATTTGGGATTTTGGTGGTCAGGAGGAGTACTGTGCAATATATCAGTGCTTCCTATCAGGGCGATCCATGTATCTGTTGCTGTGGAATGTACAGGATGGGGAGGAAGGTATTCAAGAGTTGAAACCTTGGCTTGATAATATTGCACTGAGAGCTCCTCGCTCTTGTGTCCTTATTGTCGGTACTCACCTTGATTCTGTTGAAGAAGGTGATCGTCCTGAAGTGGACAGGCTCCTTGAGAAAGTTGCTAAACTAGCACAGACCTATCAGAACAAGCTATTGGTACCAGAGGTACTAGCAGTCGGTCTAATGAACCGTTTGGAGAATATTGAGCTCCTTAGGGAGGCCATATAAAATCAAGCAACAGAATACAGAGGAAAGAGGAGTCTACCAATAATGGGACAAGAAATACCAGCCAGTTATATCAAGCTAAATGAAGAGCTGGAGAAGATACGAGAGGAGGTCAGAAAAGGTGTGAGAGACCCTGTCATGAATGTAGCTCAGTTTAGGAATCTTGTCCACAAGCTCAATCTTACTGACTTATGCAGTGATGAGGAGCTACGTACTGCCACACTCTTTCTTAATGACGTTGGTACTATACTCCATTATGATGACAGGAGCCATGGGATCAACGAGCTCTATTTTATTGATCCACAATGGCTCTGTAATATGATGTCTGAGATTGTAACAGTCAGGGAGAAAAACCCCTTTGTTAAAAATGGTATATTTTACAGTAGAAATGTTCCATTTTTATTCCGTGACCCAAGATTTCAGTGGGAGTACTTTGGGTGTTACCTCACTCTCCTTGATCGGTTTGAGATTGCCCTCCCTTTGAACAATCGTCAGATCCTGATCCCCTCCATGCTTCCAGACGAGAGGCCAGAGAATGCTGATATACCATATGATAAGTCTGCTCCTCTTTACATTCGCTTCATTAACTTTCAGTCCTCATCCCCACCGGGATTCTGGAGTCGCCTCATATCACGCATAATGCATACAGTTCCTCAGGTATGCAGGGCACTGGATGTTCTAGCTGATTATAACAATGAGACTCATTCAACAGCTGATGAGGACACCATACCTGGGGTACCTCCTGTGACTAATGTAACTAATGAAACATCAGCTCAAGTGATCAGCTCACCTGTTCTTTCTCCATCATCCAACCAGTTCCTCCTTCCAAACATTAACTGTTTCATAATAGATGATGACAATACTGAGCCTTTCAAACCCAAGGACATTGAGCTCCTCTATTGGAAGAGTGGTATAGTTTACAAAGACCCAGATCTTTCATTTGGGGTTGAGTCTCTCAGGAAATCAAAGGTCCTAGCTCATACAAACAGGGATGGCATCGTTATCCTTGCCTCTCCAAATAGTAAAGGGAGAAAGCTCATTTGTCAGTTGGTTGATATTATACTCAACCTCATACATGAGTGGTATCCGGGCCTGGAGGAGAATAATGTGAACTCTGGTGTAGAGCAGAAGGTACCTTGCTACGAGTGTCATAAGCTTGGATGTGAAAAACCTTTCGAATTTAAAATAGATCAATACATGCCAATAATCATTAGCAGTAGAACTCAGATTGAATGTGGATATGAGAGAGATGCAGCGAGGAATCACAAAGTCTCTCTGGTTGATATCATGCCTGACTTGCTCCTCCAAGACTTGGATGCTAATTATTTGCTCAAATCAGAAGAGATCAAGTTTCAAGAAGACAAGGACTCCCTCCTAGGAGAGGGAGGGTTTGGTAAGGTGTACAGAGGAAAGTTTCGTAGTAAAAGTGTTGCTATAAAGAAGTATCTTATGAGACAGGAAGAGGCTTTTAATGAGCTATGCCATGAAGCTAAACTACTGCAGAAATCCCATCATCCTTTCATAGTCTGTCTTGTTGGTGTGAATGTTCATCCGTTGACGGCTCTTATACTAGAAGAGGCTCCAATGGGATCCCTTGAGAGACACCTCATCAAGGAATCAACTCTAATCCCAAGACTTACAATGTTCCGTATTGCTGCCCAAGCTGCAGCTGCTTTACGCTTCCTACATCAACACGGGATCATATTCCGTAGTCTCAAAGCAGCCAATGTCCTCCTATGGTCACTGGATGAGACTTCACTCTGTCATTCAAAACTTACCGATTTTGGAATAGCAACACACTTGGCACCATTAGGTGTCATGGGTATTCAAGGGGATAAAAGTGTCATTGCACCAGAGGTTCTTTACATAGGACAGAAAAGAACCATTTATAATCACAAAGCAGACATATTCTCATTTGGCATGCTCCTTTATCAGATGATTGCCCGTCGTCATCCATTCCATAATGTACAGCCAGTTAGAATTGACACTAAAGTAGTCCAGGGAGACAGGCCTTCAACTGTTGATATGCCAATCGCCGAAACTGGGTACTTCTTTTTAACGCGTCTGATGGAGAAATGCTGGAAAGATAAAGCAGACGATAGACCAGAGACCTCAGAGCTAATTAGTGATGTGTCAAAAGTCACCTTTCAATCAATAATGGGTGTCCTGCCTGTGAGAAGCCGGTTTTCACTTAAATGTGGTTGTGCTATCACTCCTCATGACTATGTCAAAGCAAACATCACTGGGCATACCAACAGTGAGCTATGGGTCTGCTGTGATGGAGCTGAAGGAGCTGAGCTCAATATATTCAATACAAACAGAATGGCTAAAACTG